ATATTCTTAAGAAGTCTGAGTTATGCGAGGTGCTACGGATTAGCGACGGACTCGCCGGAATAGCCCATGACAACATATTTAATATTACTTTTATGACTTATATTAATAGGCTATTTATGTTTTTCTATAAGAATAGAATATTTAGGCTATGCTAACTCTAAGCTTTGTTAAATTTTTCATTCTTTACTATATATACATAGTTTTCTTATTAATATATAGGCTTTAATTCATATTTTCTTATCTTGTGACACTCAATATTTTATACCAAATCTTTATGTTTTCAGGTTCTAGATTATGATGTTATAGCAGACTGATTGGTGTTCTGTCACTAATAATCAAAAGCTTGTATAACTTGTAAATAGAAGAGTCCATTCTTCTATCACACAAATAAACCACAAAAATCAAGGCAAAGACATAAAAAGATTTGACAAGCCCATGATAGTTTTTCCTAAAATTACTTATAACTTCACTATTATAACAATCTATTCAAAAGATTTAACATTTTATTAAGTTATAGAAAGAAGTATATTTATGCATTTTTACATATAGAACTATTACATAATCACTATGGCTATTCTAGTATTATGTTATGAATAAATTGTTTTGTGGTCATCTAATTTTCTATTATCTAAGCTCATAGCTTTTATCTTTTTGATACAAATGGATTGTTTGTGTATTCTTCTATTTTGTAAAAAGTATGGTGATAGTTGACAATTGATTGTTTTGCATAAGCTTCAGTCATATCACAATAATCGGTCACATGACTACAGCGAAAATTCTGAACTTAGTCTGACTTATTTGGCCTTTAACAATGCATAAATTGTATTATTCACTTAATCTCTAATAGTAGTTTAATTTTTTATTGTTTAGTTAAGACCTAAGATATAAGTATTTATAGTGAATTTGTCTATAAATAATTATATATATAGGTATGATTATTGTATTGATTTTTAATATAAATAGATCTGGAAATATTGTAGTAGCGGTATGTTCTAGCTATTAAAAAAAGAATTACTATAAATAATGATAGGTCTCAAAATTATTTAATATATAAAATTTTATAGATCACTTATGTTCTTTTTTGAGAAACAAAATTAATAGTTTTTTACTTTAATAGGAACAAAAGTCAGAAAACGCAATAAATTAATAGTTTGGATAATAGAAAACAATCTTGAATAGTTTTTTTATAACTATTAATTTAAAAAATTTTAATGTTTCCTAGTGAGAAACATTTAATTTTTGTTTCTACCTCTCTTTTTACGAACCAATTTTCAAATATAAATATTCATATTTGACTTAAAATAAACAAAAATTTGAGAATTTAGTTGTCAATTTTGTTATTTAATTTTGTGTCTAGATATTTGATCTATCTGATATTGTATTTTCTTGAAAAATAATGAGCAATATTTTGATCTTTTAGTAAAGATATAGATTATAAATTTCCTTTTCCATATTGTTCAATTTCTGAAATATACTGTAGTTTCTCTTTGATAATTTAAATATAATACTATTATTATTATTTTTTTTTTAACCTGGTGAAGCCCTGCAATTGAGTTTTTATTTATTAATTAATACAGGCTTATGTACATAAATTTAATTGTAAGTCTATACATTTATAAATGGGTAAAAATACCATAACTCAGTATTTTATGACTAGAAACCCCATGACTTGCTACAGTTTACCTTAGTAGGCACTAGTATATCATGACTTTATTAGCACTAATATTGATTAAAAAAAAGAAAGAAAAGTAGCTATTATTTAAGGTATTCTCTATTATGATATTTGTTAGTTTTATGTATAGTTTCGTAAACCTATCCTTAAGATATTTTTTCAGATCAATTTGGGCTTGTTCATGCTTCAGGTCTGACTTGAAGAATTTGATAGCCTATGTTATTATTGATTTTGGACTTTGTAATATAATCTGTTAATTGGAGGTGTTATATTGTGCTTGCCCCTTCTTGTGCTTGAGTTTTTTCCCTATGGTTTGACTTTTTTTTCCAGTTGATTGTAATGTCATACCTGAGTTTTATGATTCTCACCTAGCCTGTTAGAATTTGTATTTTGCTTCTTTGATTGTAACTAGTACCCTGGTTCTATCTTTTGTTGTAAATTCTGCTACTTGAATTATAGTATATGTTATAACTTCTCTAATAATGTCCTTTTATTCACTTGGTACCATGTTTAATATTTTTTTTATATTTCTATATTATTGATGTTCTTTTTCATTTGTTTTGAATTTGTTCTGTCTGTTTATCCTCAGCTCTTGCTACACTTTCCTCTATTAGGGCCTTGATAGAGTCTTCTTGAAGTCTTGGTTTATTGTACTACATTGAAAAAGATGATTATTTATTTCTCTGTACTGTTTGCAAATTTTGTATTTGTTATTTGAATAAATATAGGGATGTTTTTCATTTAGTTTGTCCATAGTAAGTAGTGATTGCAACAGATCAAATCAGATTAGATTGGTTTTTATTTGATTTAATACATGAATTTATTTTATTTGATCTATATTCATGCAGTTAATACAATATTTTTTTAATTATAGTTTTTTTTTTATTATTATTTTATTTGTTTTTCTCTATCTAATATTTTCTTGCTATCTTTAGATTTCATTTATAAACATTTAATTAATAGTTTATATTTTTAATATTTATAATTTATTGTTGTTTATAATTATTTTCTTCTAAATTATAATATACACCTGTATAATTTAAATTTTCTGCAGTACTGCTATTACCTTGATTTTTTTTTATTGATTCTTCCAGTGCTAACAAAGCAGGAGGATCTTGGTACAATTGCTCTTGTCGATACTTTATATGTTTTTCTTTTTCAGTTCTTTCTTTTTATTTTTTAATTACTGTTATTGTTTTTTTTACCAGGTTTTGTGATAAACCACTAGTTATACCTTCCTTTAGCAAAATAGTTGTGCCATGTAACACATGTTTTGACTAGCAAAAAAGAGTATTGCTTGTATAAAAATTTAAATAAAAACTTAACCCAGCACGCTGTAATTGAGAGGCTTTATCGACCAGGCGGATCATTTATGAGACATGCTAAAAATCGGTATTACCTAAATGTAGTAAACTTGACACATGATGAAATTTGAATTAAAAAAATAATTCCTAATAATTCATCACGGGTTACAATAATTACGTATATTTAATATCGAAGAATCACCAATTATTTACAGAGTTATTTTTTCTGTCTAAAGTAGTATATAATATAGTCACTTTGTGACTGCGTAGCAATTATTTTATCAATGTTCATAAATTGTCTTGTCGAAGTAAAAATCCCAGTAAAAGTGTTAATTGATAAATCGTCGAAGTTTAATATCATTAGCAAGGGCTTGTTCGATAGGCTTGGAACTGATCACGGAATAAGATCAACTTGTGATATTGTTAAAAACCTCTATAAAGATGCAATAGGTGAAATAAATTGCTTAGATTTACAATTTCACCATAAATTAAAATAGCAAAGTTTAGATGATACTGTGTCTTGTAACAGTTAATGTTTGCTATATAGTAATCGATCTTATGCTTCCACAGTTACTATTTGGATTGAATTCTGATATTTATTTCCCCAGCATATGAGACGATAAGTTTTTTTGCCACAAAATTCGCCACTACCCCAAAACCCTCATGTGATTTCTTATATTTTTGTTTTTATGGTTTTTATTGCATAATGGGCAGGATAGAATTATTAAAAACGAAATATTCATTCATTTTAAAACTATATTTCAGAGTTAAATAAGAAAATCGCTCTAATACCATTTTAATAAGATGCCTTTCTTCGGGATTGTTTAGTAGAACAGAAATTGGAAATTGTCGTTTAGATGGTATACAGTATATTGAACATTTATCCTTGGTACACATAAAGTTTTTTCCTCAGTATCCTTTTCGATTTGTGGGGATTCAGAAGTTTCAGACTTTATCCAGAGATCAAGCCTAGTTTCTTCTTTATAACTTTTATATTACTTGATGCGAATTTTATCCGTAAAACGCCAATTAATTTAGCCTGCCAATTCAAATAGTCAGGGTTAGAGTTCCCTGAATCATAGAGATTTTATTTGGCCTGGTCTGCAAGTTTAATACGTTCATGGTGTTATTTTATAAGATTGCATTTGTTTAAATTTCTATAATGGGTTTCATCTATTATTCTTTCAAGTTATTAATGAGCTGTCATAGTAGTATAGAAAAAAAGATATATAATTGACTATTTTTTAACAATTTTCTGTCTCACAAAGTAAAGATCTAAATACTTATATTTTGATATCAGAACTGAGAAGGTGTCAATATAATTTATACAATTATTTCGACATTATAGTACTGATTTTAGATGCCTCACGTTTATTATATTAAGATCCATCTTTATATTCGTCTTTTATACCTTCTTCGTCCTCGTGACTTAACTTGCACATTTGTTATACTGATTCAACATTAATCCCATAATAATCAACATTTTAGCTACTAATTTCTTCATAAAAATTGGATACTGCTCCAATAATCACGATATGAGTTGAATTAGAAGATGCACTTACTTCAGTTTCTGATAAAGTTTTAGTTGCATGATTTTGATCGTCATTTATAATATCCTCCGAATTAGAGGTACGAGACAATGGTATAGAGGAAGTAGAAGTTTGTTCGTTAGATGCTTTGCATCCTTGCTCCCGCAAGACATAATTTATGATGTTTTGGATTCGTATATAAGTGAGGCTAGAAATTGCATTTGCGCTATATGAAACTTGTCTAATTTTTACCATCCCTACTCACTAAAAGGTGTTCGAATTTTTCTAGCCTTGAGAATTTTAAGTCGTAAATTCACATCTGTTATATCTGGTAGAAGCAGATTAATTTCACGACACACTAAGCTAGTTGCTTTTTTCTTACCGACTTTGTTACTAACAGAAACTTCCCTACTCTTCTATCATATTTTCCAGCAAAGTGATACCAAAGTGAAATTGTATCTTGGTCAGATCGAACCGCTTTTCGAAATGTGCGTACTATGGTCTGCGCTGAACTGAGGATAAATCACTGATAGAAATGTCCATATCTTGCATTGTGTTTTTATCTAGCGTAACTGAATTATTACCTCCAGTAGTCACGGCAATCTGTTGCTGTAATTCTTGTTCTACAATTAGGTTTGTTAATAGTTTATCAGGCGAATCAATAAGTTCGATATTTTATACTGAGATTTTATCTTTGAAGAAAGTGTATTACATGCATTACTAGATAGATCGTCATAATATTTTTCGTGACTTTTAGTAACGGAAATTTCTTGGTATTTGTCGCTTACATTATTTTGTTCAGGAGAGATAGAAGTATCTGAAACTAAGTTCTGGGGCCGTTCTTCAGCTGATTTACATTGAAGCTTCTGTTTTTTATTGCGTTACTTTATCTCGCCGCTAATTCCTTTATTTTTCAGATCCAGAAATTCATCGATCTCTTTATTTTCTGACGATTTAGGCTCGGACGAGTGTGCATGAATATTGGAAGAAATATTAAATGACGCTTCGTGGAGAATAGAATCTTCTAATACGTGTACGGTATCATCTTGTTTCTGCTTCTGTTCCAATTTCGTCAACATTCTCAGCAATAAGATTGTTGACACGTGTTTTATTTTTCTTTTCTAGCTCCTCTAATCTGATCTTGAGCTCAGAATTTTCTTATATAGTTTGTTTCAATTTTGTATTCTCAGCTTTGATCTCGGCATTCTACTTTCTAAGGTCAGCAATCGTGGCAATGAGTTGAGAATTTAATTCTTGTAACGAATCGATTTTTTGATTGAGCAGATAGAGATTTAAGCTCTGATGACATATTTTGTTAGCGACTTTTATATACGTACGGTGCAAATTTATTTATTATGCGGACACGAAAATTAAATTCACGTGATTAATTGAGAATTTTAATCAACTACAGTATGCGACTTAACCGCGACTACATTGTGAAGCATATTTTTACATAAATTTATTATTATTATATAAGAAAATTACAACTGCAACTGCATTGTGATAACTCGAAGTCTCAGCATCGCATTTTTAATCAACCCATAATCGAACATCGATTCATATACCTACATAGAAGAGCTCAGATTAATAATTTCTAAGACACCTTTGAATTGAACTAAACAATAAATCGAATTGCAATTCAGAACACGGTGTTCCAGGGCATGGTGTTCCAGGACTTGAAGGTTTGTTTTTGTCATTTTTCTTTAATGGTGATCATTCACTGAAGCTATATGGAGGTTACTGTCTCCTGTCGCATTATCTGCAGTAGTTGCCTTATTCACTGCCCTGACTGTTGACAAACATCAACCTGTAGCAATAAAGGTAGTTATTATAAGTATCTGACAAAGTATCTGCGAATATTCATTTTCAATCCTTTACCTGCCAATCCATTAAGTCTTTTAAATCGCTAGCAAATTGTTCAAAGTCTCCAAAGGAAACGGGTATTTTGATACAAATAAAGCGTTTAAGTATATAAATTGATGGAAGTGGTCGAATTAAGTATTTAATTTCGATAAATCCATCTATAAAAAATTTAATATACGTATGTATAAATAACCAAACTTTATACTATCCGGATTCTGGTTGTAATACTTACTGAAAGATTGTACTAAATAAACTCGTGCACGGTCCTTCGGTACAGTTTGTAGTAATTTGTTTAAAGTTCTCATTGAATTTCGGCACAATTTTAGTTGATCGCCATATTTTTTTGGACAAGGGTGTCTTTCTTCCATATGAAAATTCCACAATTATTATGACCTGGCATTTATTGATTGTCTTGATCACTTTGTACAGTCCATCGAACTTATGACTTTTTGTGTCCGGAGTGATTTGTTCAATCCTTAGGTAAACAAAAAAATTAGCAAGATTAATAATTAAAACTTCGAATTTTAAAATTTATATTTACCATGCAACATCCAATTCATCGTGTTGCATCCTAAATAGTCGATTTAGGATGTACACTACTGTGTCTATTGCGTAAGTTCTTTCGAGATCGAGACCATTATATTCAACTCTCATTGGAGCTTCAAGTCGGACAGAACTATTTATGGAAAATAAGTAATAGTATGAAAAATTTGGTTAATGTTAAAATAAAAAATACTTACAAATGTGTTAATATCTGCTGGGCGATATCGTGTGCTTCATAGTAAGAGGGATCAAATCTTCCGGGAACATAGGACTTGCGAACAATAGATGGAACCTCAGCTCGGGTACATGCATCCTCGGTAAATTGATTAATGTATTGTGTAAATTCGGGGGTCAGATTCCAAGTTTTTTTCCGAAGTACTTCTTCAAGCCAAGTAACTTGATCCTTATCAAAGGACTTTTTAATCTGTTTGTGCGTCTCATCGTCTGATAAATCTATAATACCGTTAAGATGTATTGATGTCATAAAGTTTTTTCCGGATTCTGTGTCTTTTTCTTTGCGTGCAACCAAGATTTTGAGTAATTCGTTTCGAATTTCTATTTCGTCCTAAGAGATAGGTAGGTGTAAACATAAATTTATACAAAAAGAAGGTAATAAAGAAATAATACCTGAGAAAGGTCATCAATTTCTTTTAAATCCTGTTCCAAATCAATCACTTCCGTGTCACTCTCTACAGAATAATAATCCGTGTTTTCAACCCCACCGGTGATTTTGATCTGCATGTACAACCAAAAGGTTTTGGGAAGACATTTTTGCAGACACCGGTAATCTCATTGCTGAGAATGTTGAGCTCAGAGACAGAGTCACGAAATTGAAACAGAAGCAGACACAAAGTGATAGCGTACACGTATTAGAAGATTTTATTCTCCACGAAGCATCATTTAATATTTCTTCCAATATCCATACACACCCGTCCGAGCCTAAATCGTCAGAAAATAAAGAGATCGATAAATTTCTGGATTTGAAAAATAAGGAAAGAGTTAGTAGCGAGGTAAAGCAACGCAATAGGGAAAAGAAGCTTCAATGTGAGTCAGCTGAAGACCGATTCCAGAATTTAGTTTCAGATACTTCTATATCTCCCGAGCAAAATCATGTAAGCGGAAAAGAAAAATGCCAAGGAATTTCCGTCACGAAACGTGACGATCGGCAAAAAAACTTATCGAATGCTAATATAGAAACAAAGAACATTTATCACAGGAAAGACCAAAAGGAGAGTGTCCAAATTCTAACATTTATATGTCTGAGGAGCCTGATGAAATCGAGCCCACTAAAAGACAGTGTATAGAGCGAGAATTAATAAAACAATTGCGAAGTGATAGAAATATCATCTAACCGGCTTCCTCTGAGATTACAGAGTATCAATCATCCCAAATTACAATGCAAAGCTTGATCTGTTTATTCGAAAATGCAATACGAGCTAGACGTGAAGAAATCTTATTTTGGTACTATTATTCTGATAGTTTTGAAAATAAAGTTATTGAAATTTGCCATGAGACAGGAGTTACGGATAAAACTGCTAGAACACAATTATATAAGGAAATGCTAAACCATTTACCTGGCATTACATATGTTATTTGGGAAAGATGGAGTTGGAATAAATAAAATCAAGCAAGTCGCCTATAACATATATGCCATCTCGAGTCTTACTAATAGTCAAATTCAAAATGTTATCAAGAATGTAACATCAGTAGAAGTGCCAGAAACCGTTTCCTCGGGGAACGATCATACTAATGCAGAGGTGAGAGCTTCATCTAATGTATTTCGTGCACTTTCTCCGAAAGATAATATATTGCCAGAAAATAAGATTCATGACCATGCTTACTTTCGTAACAAGACATTTTTGCGATATTCTAATCTATATAAAGTATTTATTTCTGAAAAATTTGATCGTTACGGAATTATTGAGGGTTCATTATGCCCAGTATGTAAACAAGATCATGAAGATGGGAAAAGTGTAAAAGGTAAATACGAAGCTGGATCCTATTTTATTATATGTGGAAAGCATGAAATCGAAATAACAGCATAAATTGTAAGGTCATCCAGGTATAGCCACTATGTGACTGCCTTCGGTAATCATCAATTAACAATATTTGTTTTTTAAATTGCTATTTCGGGTTATGCATAGTGTTTAAGTGAGACAGACACTTAATTTGAATTTGCTGTTGTATAAAACAATAATATGGATAAAGCCTATTTTGGAGAAATGACACTTTCGTGCCTTAACCCCTGAATATTTGGACTGGTATGCTAAATTGGTTGAAGTATCAAGTTCTTTGACTGATAAAATTCGTTTGATATTATATAGAGCATATACGGAAGAGACTGGGCTCGATCCCTGGGTAAAACCTGAATCTTCACGAATCGAAAAGGATGCTGATGATAATATTTTACAGGACAGTTTACCGGAAACTCAGATAGTAGTGCCAAACAAAATTTACACCTCAAATTCCAAGACTGCTCCAAACAAAAATCACCTTTATCAGTATGCCATCGAACATGGAATAAATTCCAAAGAATTTTCAATCATTACAGAGGTTGAGAAAATAGGTGGGCCATAGGATGTTTTCGTGGGGATTTGGAAAGAGATATACGTTTCTATCGTGTTGGAATAGAAAGAAAAGAAGACCCTAGAAAATATCGTAAATTTTAACAGATCGTGATAGGCTGGTTGGTGAAGAGTTATTACGTCAAGTTATACTAAAAAGTGGGTTGAGTACTGCATGGCTCGATGATCTTATGGAAGAATGGGAAAAAATCCATGCTCAATTCGTACAAATTTTCGGCCAGAACTTCGAACCTTTCGAGAAACCTTGATTATAATAAATACATTTAACTTTAATATCTATCGTTGGAGTGTATTCCGAGATTTTATTCTGTACGTTATATACTGTAACTTACAATGCATATAAATAAATCATTTTCCACAATCACATGGGGTTGGTCCCTATATAACCCAAAATTCGGACGAACTTTATTTGATATCATTATGAATAGCGAAGCTAGTGTCTTTCGACACATGAATTTTCTGCATAGATCGTGATATGATATCACAACATCACGTGTTCACAGATAAGCTGAATATTATGAAAGTGAAAGTTTGGCTAAAACATAATCTATATCATCCTGGGAAATACTGGATAAGGTTACTGCTGTAAAGCTCTGAACCCGCTTGATTTTATCGACCCCAATCTCATTAAATAAATCATAAATCCTTTGGGCCTGCTCTTTCGTTTTTCGAAGCAAGCTCTGGCTAACCAATGGAAGTTGAATTCTAACCTCATTATTAACTAACCCTCGAGCCGTACGTTTAGGATTGTTTTTTTTTGTAGTTCCTCGAGTGCTTTCCCAAAATAGAAATAGTGAAGAATGACTTTTTGTATAGTTTGTTTACTAATTTCTTCGACATTGACTATATTTTGGTACAGGGCTAGAAAATCGATCGAGTTCTCATTTGATTTAGATACCGGTTTAGTCTGTAAAGTTTTCTCTGGTACGTCGGTTCCCAGTTATTTGATTAGTCTTTGCAACGTAGGAGAATCTTCCTTTGAAACTGACTTCTTCACTTTCTTACTGAATAGTTTACCAGTGAGTTCACCAACACGCTTTTTCTGGGAGGTACAGTATCTCTAAATATTGGAAAATCACTAGATAATGGTAATGACGGGGACATAAAAAGATATAAAGAATCGAAACATACTCCAAAACCTCCCAAACCATCAACATAAATACTATGAAAACTCTCCAAACTCCACTCCTTGGGCAAACAACTAATAGACAATGATTCTTCCATAGATGCCATCGAAACAAAAAAGATACTATTCTCAAGAAGCTCCACACTTGACACAACATGACAATTAACTCAATCACAAGACCCCTCAACTCAACAAATATTCTCCAATGGTTTCAAGACCTCAAAACAATGAGAGTTATTCACAAACAAATCTTCAACAAGAACTGTAAAAATCAATAAATCAATACAATCAATGAAAGACTTCTCAGAAGGCAAACCTACTTCAACATCAACAAAAAACAAATGATCAGAAACCTTCTGGATGATCCCAAAAAACACATCATACTTGACAAAATTATCTCAAGTAATCCAGAAGAGACAATACTACAAATCCAGAAGAGATCAAAACACTGGTCAGCACACACTCGAAAAATGGACAAGCAAGTGCAATATTATTGAAATCAAAGACACAAGATGTGAGAAAATATACATACCACCCATACATATAAAAGAAGATTGGTATGCCAGTGTAACAGCACTCATAACAATGGAGAAATACAAGATACTATCAAATGCTGCTCTTCTAAATCAACACCCAATCCTATAGATATCTGATATATGGCACTTAAAAAATTCTATAGCAAGATTCTAACCTTTATCACAGACTTCTTCAATTATATTCTCAAGCAAGGAAGAGTCTCAAAGGAATGGAAAAGAGGCAATATTTATTCAATCTCAAGCCAAAACCCTGGGAAAATAATATCAACATCACAAGATCAATTATACTGCTCAAAACAATCAGAAAAGTCTTCACAAAAATCCTAACTAACAGACTAGCCAAGACACTTCAATTATACCAAATCATTTCCATATACAACTGGGCAGTGCTTTCAGGATCCAGTATACAAGAACCAATACACATTCTCCAAGCTATTCAAGACCATATAAAGTAAACCTATAAACAAGCTTGGATCTTGAGTCTAGTCATGGTTAAAGCATTTGACTTTATAAACATTTCTAGGCTAAAAGAAGCCCTTAAAAATATCAAATGCTCAAACAAAATATTTAATTAATTACAAACATTTGTGACAACTTACAAAATCATGTATTCACACCCTTTGGATTTTCACTCCAATATATAGTAAAAAATAGTATAGATCAAGAAAACACAATAATATATTTTTATAGAAAATCTTTTATGATTCACTCATTATATACATCTCTGAACAAACTAAATAATATACATTAATAGCAAAAAAATAATTAGATCCCACAACACCATCTATTATAAAAATACAGAACATCTCATGCATAGTCTTCATGGATGATACATCCCTGTTTACAAAAAACAACACTAATCTTCAAGAGATATATATCATTTGCTCAGACTTTTATAGAATTAATGATATCAATAATAATGTCACAAAATCAAATCTCATAGTATTCAATACCAATCCAAACTTGAATAACACAGTTCAAATTTAAAATCAATTCATATATATGCTCAAACCAAATTAAGCAGCAAGAATACTAGGTATTTATTTCAAAGGCAGAGGAACTAAAGCCTTTTAATAACAACTAATTAAAGACAAGATACTCAAATACACTAATACAATTAAATAGAAAACAACAACTAAAAAACAAATTAGATATCACCATAATCAAGTCTGAACAACAATAATCACATATTTGCTTTAAATATAATTCTTATAAACTTAACTGTGATAAGATAATAGTATCCTCAATATAACCTACAAACACAAATTCTATTTAGTCCAATCTGCATCAAATTCTATACTTTTTAACTCAATAGAATATAGATTCTTCTATTTCTGGGATAGAAAACTCTTACAATATGCAAACAACTTGTATAAAAGAGTTAACAGATAGGAAATAAAAGGAAAGATCACAACCATGTATCTACAAGAACTTTAAAACAAATGGTGATCTACTAAAATTATTACAAGACCCACTTAACAAACACTTTTCTACTACAGGGTTATGACTTTACACATAACCTAATATATCTCAGACAAAATGAATTCACAGGCATCAACTTCAATCTCCAGGTGATAAAAAAACAGACACAACAATAAAAGAAGTAATAGATTCAAACTGATACAATAAATATTGAAAACAGCTAATAAATAATCAAATTTTCTTCATCAATCAAATTATCAACTACACAGAATCATGTTTAGCTATCTGTGTGGAGATCACAACTCTCAACAAAAAGCTCAACAGGAAGAAACTAACATGGTTCTAGAAATTACAACAAAATCAAGTAATAGACTGGTTAATATAGAACAAATATACAAATAACAATATCATAAAACAATTCCATAAACTAGCCATAGAAACACCAAATCAAAAGATCAAATGGACTGTCATAACACAAACAGATAAAAACATCATTTATAAAAAAAATCTATCACTAACAACGCAGTCAAATTATATATTATACATGTATTAACAATAACTCATCTCTTCAGAGACATATCTTTACCAATATAACAAAATCTCATTTAACAGCTTAAATAAATTTCTTTTAAACAATCTAATATATGACACACTTCCACCACCACTTACCATTAATAACAATTCTATAATACATAACAAAAGACTCATTAAAAACTTTATAAATATAACAAACAGCATACTTACTGAATTAGCTCCTATTCTACAAACAATTTGCAATCTCAAAAGTATTACAGTATATATAGATGCTCCTTGAACACAAACTATAGAATGGGTATTGAATAGCATATCATCCAACCTCCAGGAATCAACTTCAAAGATAAAATGTATAACTTTCCTTCCTTCACAAGAACTGAACTAGCTAGTATTATATTCTTCTTAATAGTAGTCCCAGCAAACAGTAATATCACAATCTACAATGACAGTCAAGAGTCCTTGATACCATATCCAAAGCCCAAGAGAATCCAACTGCCATTAAAACACTAAAAAATAGCACTCTAATCAATATAATCAATTATATTGCCAAATAACAAAGACTCAACATGATATAAAAAAAATCAAAGTACATAACAATAATCTAGATAATGACAAAGCTGATATGCTTTTCAAGGAAATAACTATTACAGGCAAAGTCTTCGAAATTATATTTTTTCCCATTAAAGATAGCAATAGTCATAGATCCAAGAATGGAATGGACAAGTTCTAAATAATACAATATCAGAGACTATAAGAAATTTTATCAAAGTAAGACATATCTTTAGCTAAAAAATGTTAGATTATAATCTAACCTCAACAAACAGACAATATACTACAAAACATAGCATAGGCAGAATCAATAATCTATAATTCCCTATTTCAAATAATAACTGGCACAACCAATATACTTGATCACAATACCAGATTCTTCAAACAAAACTATTGAACTTAGAACTGTCAACTAAATATAAGCTTTACAAAAGTGTAGCAACAAGATAAAAAGACAACCTCTGTATCAATTGTCAACACATCAAAACCAATACCTATATTATTATATGTAAAGATAATGAGATAAACATCTTCAAAAACTACTTCAAATAATCAATAAGGAGATTAGCAATAGAAAATAACAAATACCTCAAAAAATATTAAACAATAAACTTAAAAAAATTGAAAACAAATGGACCCCTGAGGTAAAAAACTTTATCACAAGAAGGGCATTAACAAAAGATCTTCTAAAAATAATAAAAAAACACACAATAGCAGAAAACTAAAAAGAAATTATCAAAAACATCATTGACAGATTCCTTATTATCCTTTAAGACAAATGGCAACTGAGATGCCAGCTTTTTTTATAGTAGAAAACAAACATAA